GCAGTGAACTGGTGCATCATCCATGTCCTCAGACAATTCACCTCAGTGTGCATCCTGAACATGAAGGTTTCATTGATCTTACCTCTGAGCAAACCAAAAGCATTTCTGAAGTCTAGAATGATTGCTTGACTATGTAGAAAGGAGAGTTTCTTGATATCACTACAAATGAGGGAAAGACAGCAACCCAGCACCTAGAAAATATGAAGAATCAGAGAGAATTGTGTTCAAAGCTACTTTCTGCAGTCAAAATTGTGTTCTCCTAGCGATGACAGTGATTAGGATCTGTGCCTGTGACAATCTGAGGAGGGTACATATTCACCGTTGTTGAGAGGGCCAAAGGCTGTAGTTCCAGACCACACATGTGGCTACCAGTGGCCAGGGCTTGCACGCTCTGGGTCAGGGGTCCCAAGCTGGGATACCAGAAGGCGTTTCAGTGCTCACTGTTACTGAGCTCTTCATGGGTTGATGACAAGCCACAGACTTTATCGCAGTGGCAGAAGCAGCAAATACCAGAGGGCACCTCTCCGTGTCACTCCTTGGTTTGATGCTGTTGCTGCTTCCAAAAAAGCCTCAAGTGCAGCACAATGTAACAGCAGTCACTGTCTTCATTGCAAGCGTGAAGCATAATTTCCTTATTTACCTCCTGCTTGTCATACCAAGGCCCTTACTAGTCTTCTTTGCAGACAAGTTAGAAAGATGTGGGGTGCTTTCACCAGAAAATATTCTGTCCTTTTCTAGGAAGAACAGTTCCACAGTGACATAAAGGGTTTACTAGTAAAAAACCCTCAATTAAAATATCCAGAAGGTAAGTATTACAACAATATTTTTTACTGCCTCTATAGGCAGCATTGAAGCATCCTCAAGGTCAAAAGTCAAGAGCTTTGTTCTGAAAGGGTCTGAGTACTTTGGCTCAGTACTTCAAACATATTTCTGTACCTCAGCACCACCGTGGGTGTGTGAGCAAGGTCACTGAAACAACTATGAGATTTGAGTGGCAGAGTTTGATTGGATCACATAAAATATGCCTAGCATCGATCATTAAAACCAGTCATGACATCTTCGCACCTATTCAGGAGAAAAAAGAGTAGTCTGTTTTTTTTTTTTAACACATAACATAAAGATTCATTGGGCAACGAACACATTTGTAGGCAATGGAGAGTAACACCACAGAGAAACTTACAGAAATTTGAAGAAAGAGTGAGGAACAGACAGACACAGAAGGGTTGGAATGGAGGGTGAGAAACCAGCAAAATCTTTTGTGCTGAACAGACGGCTGCACTGAGTCGTGCTGAACTGTCAGAACAACAGCATTTCAGCTAGTTGTACTGGCAACTCCAAAGAGCAGATGTGTTGTAGAATCCAGAGCCCAAGTTTGTAAGTGGTGATGCTAGAGAAATCTGAATATTGCAGAGAAGCCCACAGAGATGCACCGGTATAAATTCGTAGACACGAGGCTTAGAATGCAGAGGGTGGAATCTGAGGATTTTGTCCATCAGACTGTAACGTACCACCAACTGCAAAATGAGGTACTGCTCTCTCACTGTATGCTCAGGCAGATTTTTAAAGATTACATCTCTGGATCACTCCTTAGAATCATTCTTTTAGTCTGCTTCTGTGGAGTTCGTTAAAAAAAATGTTTTTGATATATTGTTAATTTCTTAAACTGTTTTTCTGAAAAGAACATTAACATTTCCAGCCAATAATGTTTCTTGGTTACTGAAGGTATTTTATTACATATTTTTTCCCTCTCTTCTGGTAATACATGTCTGTATTTGACAAGCACAGGGTTCCTTGTACTGCCTCAGTTTTAATTACATACTCCTTACTCTTGCTATAGCAGATGTAAATGTTTATACTTCCACACACCAAGTTATCTTTTTATGACCCACAGATGATGCTTTCAAAGGTGTTTTGTGGTCTCAGAGTGATATCCTGACTCCATTAAAGTGAAGAGAAGCACAGGTGTTGATAGAAATGGGATGCTATGCTCTGACCTTTCAAAGTGCACAAATGGTATGGATTCATAAGCAGTGACTTTCTCAGGGCTTTGGGAGACAGACATCTCAAGAGATTTCTGGAAGATGATTAAGAGCTGAAATATCCGCTGCCTGCAAAGGGCATATTTCACGGGCTGGAAGCACATCCAATAATTTTCTTATAAAATTCTCTTTTAGGAGGACGTGTCTTACTGGAAAATATGTGTGAAGTATTTCTGATTTGCTGCATCATTTACTATGTGACATATATCATTGAGATGTCTTTTATAAAGCTCTTATTAACTCCTCTGGCCTTATCTTAGCATTTCTGTGGTCTGGTTAGGACTGTTCCCAGGTAGATGTTACTGCCAGAGTATCACACAAGATGAAGGTCATACACAAAACTCTACCTTGATATAAAATAGTTGCCAGACTGCTGGAATTTCCAGACAGACACGTCCAGAGTTTATACAAGTAAAGAGTATAGGTCAGATTCTCATACTTGGATTATTTCAAGTCAGACTGTGCCAGTGAGTATAAAAGTAGACAGGCCAGCTCAGATTTGGATTTCAGTGTGAATGCCACACAAGCAAAACCCTATGGGAAAAAGAGAAGAGTCATCTCCCAGCAGAGTTTATCAATTCAGTTTTTCAGACCTGGAACCTGTATACAGGCAGTATATTTTTATTGTATCAGATCTGTATGTGATATTTAATAAATTTACTCTTTTTTTTTCCTACTGATACTCTTTTAAGTCTATGCTCATTTCAATAGATTGCTGTAAGGAAAACTAGTTTACCTTTCAGTTCTTTTCACCAACTCTGAAGTCTGGCTTATTATTTTCATGTTTATGGTATCTCATGCACTAAATATTAAGTTCCGCTAATGACAATGTATGTTCTGAGCCACAACAAGAGAATGATGGGATTTTGCAAGCAAGGTCCTAGAGCCCCAACTGCAGACTGCTGAGTTATATGCCTTCTGAAGCGGAAAGATGCATTAAAAGTCTGCCTAATGTTTGTGTCGACATGCTACATTCTGCTTTTCATCAAATAAAGTAAATGTTGCTAAAGAACTCATGTATAAAAACAACAAAATTGACGCAGTATGCCTCTCTTTTTCCTTTGGCAGATCTTCCAACATAGATCTGGCCGTCAATGGGGGTTTCCATTCATGCCTACGATGTTTTCCATAGCATGGCATCTCAGTGAAGTGGAAGGCATATGACAATTTGGCTTTTTGGCTGTGCACGCCATCATGGCATCCCTCAATCAAAAGCACTGAGTGACATGCCTTTCTTGCACTGCCTGGCATGCAATGTGCAATATGTCAAAAAACATTGCCACCCCTTCCATTTTGTGTATTATCAGATTCCTTTCTGTTGTATTGTTTTCTTCCACAAGCTATTAAATATAGTGGAATATATTTTATATTTAGATTGGCCACAGGCATTAAGTAAATGCTTTTGCTCATTTAACAATGTGCTCGCTGTGGACACGTTCTGTGCTCTGGTAAAGCCCTTTGCATGAAATCACCCGTGGGAAATAGCCCTGAGCATGGTGGAACCTGGAAAGCTTAGCTTCAGGCAGGGGAATTCTTGAGTTCAGTCCTGCTGGCGTATTTACTTCTGTGTGTCCCCTTACAGTCAGCCATTCCTAGCTGTCACACTGGCCCTTGGAGACTGCTGGAAATTGGCATGCTGAGGTGGAGCAGCACTTTGGCTGTTCTAGTCATATCAAGGTATTGGCCTCCAAAGATGCTGTAAGTCACTTTTCCATGCATCATTCTTCTGCACATCCTTTGTGTGCCCTGGGTAAAGCCATGGCTCTCAGTCATTTTCCAGGCTCTGTTTATTCCTGCTTTCCTTACTCAGAGAAAGTGTCTTTGATCTCAGGTAAGGCATTTTTGTAAGTGAGATGAGCATGACTACGTTTTTTGTTTGGCAGAAGCAGACTGGATGTGAATTCCAAGTCCATTAGAGAGTGTCCCATAGCTATAGCCCCTTAATTAGTACTAGGACAAAATCAGAGCACTACAAACAAATGTATGGCTTTCCTTCTGCAACTAAAATCCAGATAATGACTTTACTAATACCTTTTAGTCCTAGCCATTAACCATGCCGTTGAAATCTGCTTTTTGTGTTGGTCAGTTTGATTCAATTCCCCAGTCTTCCTCTCACCTTCTCTGACTTCTCAAACCTCCAATTTCTGATGAAACAGATGTCAACCTGCTATGTGTTACAGTGCTACCAACCGAGTATGACTGCATGCAGATATGTTCCTGAGAGAGTATGACCTGACTAAAGCATAGAGAAAGGAGGGCTATATTGCATTCCCTGCTGTTTTGCAGTCTTCTTGTCTATTCAGAGGTAAACAATTTCAGCCAGGATATTTTTAAAGTGTATAAGAGATGTAGGATGACTTTTATGAATGCCATCCTTAAAAATGCTGTACCTCAGTTGTCCACCTGAACAACAGATATCATATAATCTCTTTCCAGAAGATTCTGGAAAGACGCTTTTGTTAGTGGCACGCTGCGCTACTGTGGGTGAAGGTACCACAGCTGGGCCGGAAGAAATCCTGAAGTTTTTCATGAATAGTACAGGTTGATCTGGTTATGCTCCTGCCTTTGCTATGTCAGATGGCTGTTGGCTTTCTAAACATGTCAGAGGTTTAGAAAACAGAAACAAATCACTGCAATGCATCTGCGAATGTACTAGTGAACACCACTCTTCTTAAATGTTTAAAACTGTGGCCTTTTCTTAGTTATAATGGCTTTTTCATAACAGAAGTATTTACTTTCTAGAGAAAGCAATCTTATGCAAGTTAGATGATAATGAATTTCTGAGCCAATATCAGAACAAAAGGACAAATGCAAAGGTAGGTCCTAAGGGATGCAAAAATAATCTTGTTATGATAATCTCAATGCAGATAAAGCTACTACACTTTCTTTTTGCCCTACCTTTGATGATGAAAGCAACAGGAAAAGAATACCACCACCTCAAAGTCAATGAATCTCTGTGACATGACTCAGTGCCTGGGGCTGACTCCAAGTACCTCCACTGTTGATCCTAGCATTTGTCGCTTCCGCGTAAGTCAGCGTCTCGAAGCTGCAACGTTCAGACGGTGACGAGAGCTGCTCCTCTGGGTGCAACAGGACCAGCTCACTGGAAAGCTGAAATATAAAGACTTTTGCTGTAGGCATGGGGCTCCTAAATAGAGAAGACAGTGTAAATTCTCACGTGGAGCAATGAATTGAAACACTAGGG